TGTTCATTATCAATATCCTGTGCCTTGTGCACCCACCGTCCACCATGACCACCCCCTTGGCCAGAAAACACAGAACTTCCTCCATTAGAAAAACTGTGGCCACTGACCAATCTTATTAGCAATTACGTTTCCCTAAAAATGCATTTAACAAAACAAGTTTTATTAAAACAATCTTTGACAAATTCTTTTTGTTTTCAGGGCCATGCTGGTATTAGCCCCAGGCCCTCAAATCACTAAGCCCACTCCTGCATCTGATCCTCTGTATTTGTTGATGTTCTCATGAGGATTGGATGCAGATTGTTAAGGATTAACCCACTGAAGGCAATGACTCTCTGTGACGTGGCATTTCCTGGTTCTCCTCTCTTTCATTTCCTCTTTCTCACGCTTTTACTCTTTTACCTCCCACTCCCTTGAGGTCGATATCCACAACTTCACCTCCCCCATTAGTGTTGCACAACCAGGCTCACCTACCTTATAGTGGCTGTTACGGATGAAACCAAAAGAAAGTGGATTTTTTCTCATTGAATAATTTATTTAATTTGAAATATAAAAGCATTCCTGCTTCCAGTCCAGATTGAAAGCAGCAGCATAATCCAACAACTGCTGAAAATCACGGACAGTCTGGCAACATAATTCCTGATCACTACAATGTGTGTAAAGTGTTTTTTTCTCATGCAGAACATAGAGGAGTTGTTAGGCTTTTAGGAGGCTTTTACTTCATCTGCTAAACAAAGAATAACAGGATGAGAGAAGTAAGACAGAAAGGTAAAGAGCTGCAGACTACAAACAAGGAAAGACAAATGGGTTAGCAGCAGAAACAGAGCGATGTAAAGGTCAGGGAGAACAAGAACACAGATTAATTTTCTGAGATTCTTTGGTGCTGACTGGGCCAATGACCTACTGCAAATGAGGAAGAGAGGAATCTGAGCGTGTGTGTGTGTGTGTGTGTGTGTGTATAAGGGGGTGGTTAGACTACAACACAGTGCTGGGGGTTTGAGTGAGACAACATGGGGCCTTGAAGAGGGAAGGCAGACAGCGATGGCATCAGAGGAGAAAAGGAAGCGTTGGAAAACATGAGGGAAATTTTGAGGCGCTGCAGATGGCCAAGACACGTGTTTACCACCCAGTGGATTTCCACTTTAAAGCTTTACAGACAGATGGATTCCCCAGACATTCCAGATGCATTTAGAGACATAAAAGACCTCTCAATATATATACAGCAGGTTAAACTGCCATTAAAACTGCATAGTTCAATCCTTACCTACTGCAATTGCAAAATACTGACATTTTACCTATTGACACAGCTTTACAAACACAATACTGATGCTTTGTTTGAAGGTGAATAGATTTACAGACTTTCACTGTCAAGATAAGGAAGATGACATTTTTGTTGTGTGTTTAGTTTGAGGTTTCTGTGGGCGCTTCATCCTTTAGAGGCTGGTCTTTTATGTGTTCACTTCTCATTGGATAATTGACAAAGATTCAGCCATCTTGTTGTGTATTTAAAGGCTGTTTTGTTGTGTATTCTGTAAAACACCCAGAAGAAGGGCAGACTCGTCCAGTATGTCAGTGTCTCTGAGTTATTTTTCACATTTTGTTCTTTAGTTACTTGAGCACCTAGTTGACTGCTGAAGTACCAACAACACAATCTTTCTACTATGTCTAACCATGTGACGGCCATATTGAAGACCTCAGCTTTGTGCCAACTACAGTGTACTTGTGAACACCTAGTTGCATTTCTAAAGGTTAAATCCAGTCATCTCAACATCATTCAGTAAGCAAATTAAAAAAAAAAGAGTGTGCAGTGATTAGACACTATTCCTGTTGTTAAATAGATTATACTGCAACAGTTAATTCCCAATTTGGTTAATTGAGCTGACTCAAACCATAACTCAGTAGTGTTATATCTAGACTTTTAAAACTAATTTACTAAACCTCAATCCATTGACCTTAACACACACACAAAGTCAACCTTTATCAGGTATAGTACGTTTTGTCGTATCTAGATGAACCTTGAAAACTTCTGTTATCCATAATGGTGCCAGATGTGGCTCACGAGTGATTTATGATATAAAATAACTATACAACTACTTTAGGTCTACAAAATGAAAAAATCCTCTATGTCTAAACGGTCTTCAGCCAGGTGAGATAGTCAGTCCTGAGTTCTGGGCTCGAACCTGTAGCCTGTGTGTCACTGAACAAATGTTTTAATGCTTTTTATTGGATTAGTCCACTCACAGAGCAGCAGGCCGGTCGATGGTCCACTCGGGCTGATGGGTAATAGCATTATCCTGCGTTGGCCGGGATTGGCAGACACCAGCGGACAGAGCTATCCTACCATTGATTGACTCTCCCCTCCAGGGCCACTCTGATGCTAGTCTCCATCCAGTGTTTCATTTGTTTATGAAATATTGATATTGGCTGCTATCTCCTCTCGGAGATGGGAGCTTCAGCTTGATGGAAAGGATGGAGAGCATTTTGGGATGCTGGAAAGCTTTTGTTGGGGTTCATGAACTTAAAGTTTTTTTTTTCTTGGGTGGATGGATGTAATCAGTTTATTATTTCCAGAATTACATCATGATGGATTTTGTTTTTTGTGCCATATTTTTACCCCTTTAAACTCCCTTTATTGAGCCATAGCCTAAAGTCCCAGCAGGAAAAAAGGGAAACATGTACCTACTGTTTTTTTTTTTTGGTAAATGGTCAAAATCAGGACCAGGGGATCAACAGTTTGTTGTAATGCTGTTTGCTGACGCTCATATACTACCCACTATTTCACTATGTATAGAAGCACCAAAGTGAGACTGCCTTGAACTTTAAATGAATGAGCAAAAATATAAAACAGCTGAAAAAATAGTACAGACTTTCCCATTTGTTATTCATCCTGTTGGTAAAAATGCTCTAAAATGTAATTCTACAATCCAGAAGGCCCAGATTGACAGTTCATTTCTCAGGTTGTTTTTTTTTGTGTGTGTTAAAACTGCCTTTAGATCTGTATGTTGATAGCGCCCTCTGTCTGCAAACCCCCTCTGGTACCATTTCCTTATCAGATTTCACTTTTTCCTTCAGAAAACCTTACTTTAACCTTCCCTCAACCGCAAAACAAGCTAACTCTGACTCCTGCGGCATGAGATGGATGCAGTAGATCTCGTCAGTAAACAGATGCTTTAGTCTTCCCATAATGACAGTCAGGATTGACGGGCTACCACAGCCAAAGCCTTTTATGCAGGGGAAGAGCCTCTTGGATCAATAGTTGTTACCTAGGCAAAGCCCACACAACCACTAATGAATCCTCTGGCTTACAGTACAGGCTGCCACTGCTCTTTATGTCTACACAGGAGAAAAACCTTGGATATACTTAACACTCCACTAATAATGTCAAAATTAACATCAAAATATATCCACCACATTGGAATAAAAGATAAAAATGAAGGAATTATCACATACTTTTATGTAAATTACTTGTAACTAGAAATGAATGAGCTGAACAGACCTATTGTCCAACAGCAGGTGCAGACGTCACACCAGTGAGTTTATGGTTTTGTTTGTTGTATTGTGTTGCGACATTTCAGTGGTCTGTTCTCTGGGACAGGTTCTGTGGTGTGTTTGAAGACTGCAGACTGTTGTCTGGCACACCCATCTGTCTGTCTGCTCCGCATTTTCTGTTTTTTTAACATAGGATTAAAGTATTGATATATCAAAAGTGGTACAGCTTGTTAGTCACCTGTCTGGGATTTCTAATTATATAAAAAAAAGGCTTTGTGCCAACAAGGTAGCAGGTGCAGTGTTTACAGTGCAGTCCATAAGTATTTGGACAGTGACACATTTTCCTTTGTTTTGGTTTTATACTCCAACATATTTAATCTATAATGAAACAATGAAGAGTTTGAGAATGAAGGACTGAGGGCGTTTTCAGGGTGTTCACATCAGTGTCAACTTTTTGACGATGCAGGAGTTCTTTTTTGGGGACTTTCCTTTCAGAGAGTTGAGAACATTGATACCATACCACAGTCATATCTAGACATAGGGGGAAACTAAAACCTACCAGCACTTCTAAAGCTCACTAATTATCACATTATATATCATTTGTTTAATCCTTGAATTAAAGTGTATAAAATGACATTTAGCGACCTTGTGTTGGGCAATTTCTTGACCTTGGAATTGGTCATTTGTTGTTTTCACTATGTTTTTTGTAAAGTAAACAAACTACATACATCATGTTAATTAATGAGCTTTAGAGTTCCTGGTACGCGGATCTAGAACCAGGCTGTCAATCAAATCATAATCAAATCATAATTTGGGCTAAAAATTTGTTAACGGCTCAAATTCTATCTTTAAAAACATTTTCATAAACATGCACTGAACTCCTGTAACAACCTCATCTTCCTACCCCAGCAGCTAAAAAAAAACGTTACACCGAGAAACCTCAAGATGATTCATCACAGTCCACTTCCTCCTGCACTGTGCTGTGTGTTACAGATAGCACATGATGGATTCTGACAGGCCTGATTTACGTCAGAGAAGCCGAGCAGCTAAAGACCCTCTAGATCCACTGAGATATGAAATGATGGCCGTCTCCACCCGCTCTGCACCTACGCCATGCATTATGACTGATACCATCCTGCTAAGCCAAGCACTTTGCTGCTCGTCTGCAGGATATTAGCTCAGCCAGAGGTTATTCATAGACTATCAAACTAGAGCTGCGGTCAGGAAATGCTGACTTATGTGTAAATATCAATTAAATTAGTCAAGTCCCTGTTGCTGAGGGTGCACTGCCTGGTTTTAATGGCCACAGACACTAACAGTGCTGCGTAAATCACATTTGTACAAGAAAAGAGAGGCAGATATTAGATTAGACTTGTTTACACATCCATTAAATATTTGTATTTGCTCATTAACTGTCATAAAGCATAAAGATTTTGCTGAGCATTGATCGTGCACTTATTTTATTGTTGAAGCTGATTTGGTTTAATAATACATGTCATTTTGATATAAATACCCATTTTACAATATTACCAATTGGTATAACACAATGGACTTAAATTATCCCATTTCATAAAAGTGGTGCATTGGTTGTGATCCATAGCTCTTTCCTGGCACAGGGAGTGAAATGATTTTAAATTTCTAGCAAAAATCACAGTGGTGTATTTGAAATAAGCAACAAAGAAGTGTTAAGTATGAGCAGGGATCATAACAGACAAATTACAGCCACAAAGACAAAAAATCATACATAAATCATAAAAAATATATAATTTGGCCAGGAAGTGCAAAATAACACAGTAATTATCATTTATTAACAAGAATTACAAAAATAAAATGCACAAACAAATTAATATTGCAGGCAGAATCACTTCTCATCCAGCCTGAAGCAACTGACAGGAACCATTACGTAAGTCTAGGCACATCACTGGTAAGCAGTGGGGTTTGGTTGTTTTGGTTCGAGGGGTTTGAATGTGTTTAGAACACAAGGCACATTGTCACGTCTCCAGTGCCAAACTCCAAGCCACTGGTTTTTCACGCCTGAAAAAGTAACCTCTGTCCCTCCTGTCAGAGTTATGTAGGCCAGCCTGCTGAGCAGAGACAAAATGGGAGCAGAGCTCAGTAGATGCAGCCTCAGCAAAACCATCTCTTTTAGAGCTGTTAGGTGCAGAAGCCATTTCTCATGGGGAGACTGGATTAGTACTGTATGCGGCTGAGGTAAAAGCATAGACACTTCCCATTATTATATACAGTACAGTGTTAGTGGAAAGCACTAGTTAGTGTTAGTGTAGTATAAACAAACTGGTTAGTAACTCATAAATTAATACAAATACAGAGTAACACAGTTCATAATATGCAAGCAGTTATAATTTAAACAACATTAAATAAATTTACATCAATTGACTATAATTCAAATATCTACTGTAAAGAGTTGACGCAACCCAGAGAGCGAATACAAGTGTGTTTGTGATTAAATAAAATAATCTAAAATACAATGTTACTGTTAGGGATGCACCGATCTGACTCTTTCTCTCCTGATACTGATTCCAATGTGTAAATTTGGGGTATTGTCTGATAACAAGTATCAATCCAGTGCCAGTGCTGCTGAAGTCCTTATGTGTGTTAAGTAACATGAAGATATAGCCATTAAAGTGGTGCAAGGTAATTAGCTACAGTTGCTCAAGTAATGTAATGTACTTGCAGTTTTGAGCTATTTGTACTCTACTTGAGTATATCCATTTTATGATATTTCATATTTTTACTCCACTACTTTTCAGAGGTAAATGTTATACTTTAATTTTCCATCGAATGACCCCTCAGATTTGGACTAAACTACCGAACACTGTTTAAGTAGTTAAGTCAAACAGCTACAACAGTAGAATGCTGCTTAGGTATAGCTGCATCAGTAGTACCAATCTAACAATATCATATATAATAGGGTCCATTTTTCTGCAGCATAGGTACTTTTACTTCTTGATACTTTAAGTAAATTTAGCTAATACTTATGTACTTTTACTTAAGTGGGATTTTGAGGGCAGGACTTTTGCTTGTAATGTACTGTAAGTGGAAGCTATTAGTTGCTATGTATGTAGTTACATAAGCTCACCGCAAAAAATAAATGAGCAGAAAAGAAAATAATGGGACTCCCTATAATAAAAATACCATTTGTGTGACTATAGTGAATAATAACTGCTGACAAATATTGATGAATGAGACAATACTGTGCACAAGGGACTGCTGTGGTGCTCAGAATTCAGTCTGCAGTTGTATGTGACTTAACTGAACTTGGAATGATCTGATTTTATAATTAAAGTGACTTGTTAATGTGGATTGGTATCTGGCTGATACCTGATTTGCCTAATAATCAAGTGTATCAGAAAGGTGCATCCCCAGTTTCTGCCATTCATTATAATAATTTCTTTATGATAAACTTACATACTGATATTCTCAGCTCAATCTTGCAGAGGGACAAGCAACACAAATCTATAGTATCTCATTTTAAATACTGCTTTAAAATCTAAATCTTAAACATTTGTCAGCTTGTCTGCTTTACTCCGAGTGCACACACACTGCCACATTCTTGTGTCTCTCCCAATAGTGACACTCTTCCGGAAAGCTCCACGCAGCTGCAGACTCCTTGTGGCGACTGACGGCGTGAACAACAAACCCACACAGCTGCTTCTCCAGCACCTCCACCACTGCCGGGGCGTTTCCCTTCTTCCCCTGGCCATCCATCACCTGCCGGATGAAGTCACGGGGCACCGGCTGGGGTTTGGTGCTGTACGACACCACCAAGTTTATGTTGTTCACCTGGAGCACCTCGAACCAGTTCTGTCCTGCCACATGATGAAAGTGCTCCCCTGCTCGCCAGTTCCGGTAGGTGCTCCCTGAATGGTTAATTAGCCGCACTGACCAGTGGACCCAATCATACTTTTTCACCAAGAACTCAAGAAGCTGCTGAGTTGTATCTTGCAGGTTCTCTTCTTCCTTTTCTTGCAGGAGATGCTGGGCATCTAATTTTGCTTGCTCTGGGAAGGCAGCAGTACAAGACTCGATGGTCATCTTCATCCTGGACTCTACTTCTTCAATTTTGCTGCTCCATTCTTGGATTTTGTCCTCTTCTTCCTCTTGGCCCTGGGTTAAGGCGCAGTGACCCAGCAGAGCAATCAGGCCCAAACAGAAGAGCTCCTTCATCCGGACACAGAAATCTTCCAGGAGACGGCGGTTCCTTGCTACATACCTGCAAAACAGAGGAACCATTTGCATTTATGAGAATGGTGTCAAGACATGAGAGCTGCAATGAATTCAGGAATATAAATATGCTGAACAATTTACCTCTCGACCAACTCTAAAACCGACTCTCCAAAGGTGTTTGTCCCCATCAAAGCATCATACAGCACAAACAGGTTCTTCTCTCCTCCAGTTTTGGAAAAGTGCTCCAGAAAAAGTCTGGTCTTCACGTCCCTGAACTGCTGTTTCGCCTCCAAGATATCCATATATTTCCGAAACTGGTTCCTAATGTTCTCCTCCACTGAGAAGTACTGGGAATCCAGTCTCCCTTTCTTGATCTCGCAGTCGATGTCTTCCAGTTGGGTGGAGAGCACGTCGAGCTTGTTCCTCACCGTCAGAAACTGCTCTTTCACATAGATGACTTCTTTGCTCTGAATGTTGTCTAAGGCCAGTCGCAGTACTGGTGCGGCGGCCTCACAGAGGGGGAAGAGCTCACCTACAGCGCTGGCCAACACCTCGGCCCCTTTCTCAAACATATCCATCACTGCCTCGATGGCCTCCTTCTTCTGGGCCACAACCCTCTCCAATGAACTGGTCATATTCTGAGACACAGAGGGACAAAATATGGTGACGTGTATAAATAAATCTTAGTGGAGTGCCAAAATGGGTTGTAGTCTTTATTCTGTTAAAATATTTATGAAATAGACTTGTTTACAGAGGTTCTCAACCTTTTAGGATTGTGAACCCTTAAAATAAAGCAGTGTCATAATTGACCCCTTTTTCACAGACCGTGTGGTCTATAAGTTGTGAGCAGTTCCACCAAAGAGTGATTTTTCCCTCCAAATTTCTCAGATTGTTTCATTTGAATAACTGATAGAGGTCAGAAGAGGTACATCTAATAGTACTTCAGAAGAAAAAAGCAGATTAGATAAAAGGCCAAAAAAGAATACTATATTTGTGTAGCAGAACAATGTTTTTTTTCTGTTTTACTATCCTGTTACTCATTTTATGCCCCCTCAAATGTACCATACCAAACCCTCTCAGGTTGGGAAGGACTAGTCTGAAATATAAACTAATGAAGTCCACGGCACCGGCATGTCTTGAGCAACTTACCATAGTTAATTACTAAATAGAACATAAGATAAACGCTAAACAATCTTGGTCTCTTTTAGGACATGCTAGTATTAACACGAGAAGACGCTTTCCCCTACAAGGTTGTAAAATACATTTGTGCATAAACTAAACTCATCTTTCACTACAACTATTTTGATAATGGAATAATCGTCTTACAAAAATACCAAATGCTTTCTGCTTGCTGCATCTCCAATATGAGGATTTGCTGCTTTCCTTTTCATATAAACTAAACATATTATATATTATATATAATTAATATTATTATACATTATTATATATAAAATAATTGTTATTTGCAGCCCTGAAATATCTTTTAGCAAAGAAGACAAGATACCAAGTTTAAGTTGGTCAAATGTTAAAATCTCCATTTCTGTTATTTCAGCTGATAAATATGAAGGTAAATATGATGTCAGGATTTAAAAAAAGAGAAAATCTTTACCTTGACCCTTTTAAACTGTGATTATATTCAATCTTTTGTGAATCCACCCACTCAAAAGGATGCAGGTAATGATGTCATATAAACAAAATGGGGGCCTGAGATACTTGGATGAGAAAATGACACAGATGCCCTTGGGTCTGTATATGACTCATTTCAAAGCAGAGCAGACCAAGGCCAAACCATGTTTAAAAATCCCCTTTCATCCTTGCTTGCAACCTGACATACATAAATTACTGCATCCTCTCTGTTCAGATGTCTGCCTGTAGATGGACCCCAGATGCTGCGTCACCCAAGTCCTCGACAAATGAACATCGACATTAAATTAGTTTTGTTTATTCCTATCTGAAAATGCGTGGCTTTTTCTCTCTTCTTTATAGTGAAGAAGAGAGCCCGAGAGATACATAATCAAATAAATAAAGAGTTTAAGACCAAAAAGGATCCTTAAAGTAAATAAATGAAGAAAAAGCTTGTCTTGTCCAAACTGCACCATGTTTAACTGCCATGCGCACCCAAAAAGAAATGCGCAACGGAAGCCCTTTTTACGCACAAATCCCCTGAGAACATCGGACACACCTTACAGCATATTTACCCTTTATGGTGGAGGATAAAGACACCACATTCCTGTAATAACAGCGTTTTCTCCGTACCTGAATGAAATGAGTCTGCTGCCCCTTCACGCCTGATGATCTCCAACAGCTGCAAACAAGTTTTTTTTTTTCTTCAAGTTTGAGAAAATTCCCACGGTTCTCTCATCCACTGTGGAGGCGAGGAGGGGTCCAAAAACAGGATCCAGAGAGGAAGAAGAGATGCGTGCACAATATCTGCAAAGGAGAGAGAGAGAAGGAGAGAGAGGAGAAGAGAGAGAGAGAGAGACAGACAGACAAACGGACAGACAGAGCGCAAAAAGCAAGAGGTGAAATATGTGGTCGGTTCCATTTTCTTTTCAGTCTTCATGTCACCATGAAAGGACGATCCTGTCTCTTCTCAACAATACGGAACTAAATTTAAATATTGTTTTCTGTGTTTTATTCCTCACACATTTTCATCGGATTTCTTCCTGAGAGAGAGCTTTTGCGCACTTGGTGCAAATGTGTCTTCATCCCCATTATGTGCTTCAGCTGTTCCTAATGTTAAAGGATCCAAACTTGAGGTAAGACGATCGGAGAACTGCTGTGGTGTTTTGTCTTTTTGGTGTTTGAATACGACAAGTTGATGTAACCATCATCACCATTTTTTATTTTTGCTACAACCGTATCATAAATGGATGTGCTGCGCACACACAGCTGTGGTGTGAAATACACCCTTAATGTTAGGATTTTAAATATGATTCAGAATCTGTTATATTAATAGAGATTTGAAGGGAGCGAATTTATCAAATCAGTGTTTATTTATAACAGCACAGACGTGCGTCACCTCTCTCCAATCAGATTTGTCACAAATATAAACATATCAAGTAAAACATTCTTTCAAAAATCGAAATGAACACCAAACGTAGCATTTTTCTTCATTCAGAGGACTTTATTATCATGAAATTATACCTCACATCCCCTCCAGCCCCCCTCATCAGTGCGCTCACGACGCGCCCTGTGAGCGCCTAAAGCTCCCTCACCAAAAAAAGAAAAATCATTACGCAGATCGTTTCTCCTCTAAACAATGAAGGGCTTTATGTCATGTATAAAGGGTTTTTTTTTTAACGTATTATGCCCAAGACTTTTATCTGAATTTCTTTGATGATATCGATTTTCTTTAGGTGAAAATGGATTCTCCAAAACGAGCTCATGTCATGAAGAGAAAAATGAGCTCTATTACATGATGGACGACGTTGTTGTTGGTGGCTCATAGACCCTCATCGTGCAGTCTGCAGGGAAGGTAAGAACCTCAGATCTTCTCTCCTCTCTCAGTAATCTGCATTTCAAACGCCTGTAATGCACATTTTCCTGTTTTGGTTCCCCGACTCTGAGCTGTGAGTCAAACCTGTTCAGCTGGATAATGATGCATGAGGGCCATTCCAGAGGTACTTAACCCAGGCCATGTGCCCATTTCACTTCACCTGAGGTAAATTCTTTCCCCCTTTGATCCTTTACGTTCATGTGGGTTGCCTTCGCGCATGTAATGTAGGAGATCTGTTTGGGTCCTGAAAGGGAAGCAGGCTTTAACAGCTCGTCAAATTGGAGGCGTATATGTGATGCTTTAGTCCTGTGGGCCCCCGGGGAGTTCAGATAAAACAGGTGTAATGCTGAAGCGAGTGAAGTACTCACGCCCTCTTGCGTACAAATCAGTAAATAACACATTGACGTGTCTTCTTAGATTCCTGGCCCCCTATTGTACCATCTGAGGACATTATTTAATACCACTACAGATCTCTGATTTTGCCAAATTTAAAGAATAGGCGTTGGGTAAAAACAATTATGTACAAAACCCTTAAAAATATTTAAAGTTGATGATGATGCAGTCATCAAAGACAAAGCTTCTTGGGTTTGAATATTTTACTGTGCAAGTAACAGTATTATTGTTTAAACAAATAGAAACTATATATATATGACCATGTTAAACTGTGGGAAAAAAGCTACTATATTGATTGTTTTATATGTTTCTGTTTAAGGATCTGATTTTTGTTTCCAACACAAATATTCTGTAGTGTCTTGAATTAGATTTGCTATTAATGATGTACTTGTTTTACATTGAGAGTAAACAAAGACTATTTGAAACCCAAAAATCACAAAATCATGCAAGTGTTCCACCTTTGATTACAATATTCTCCTTTCATATTTCGCTGCTCGGGATCTCTCCATTGTATCACATTCTCCTCAGTGCATGAGTGATATTTAATATTAGAGCAGCAGAGGGCGACAATCGTTAGACTTCATGTGAAAGTCGAGGTGAGAAAGCACATGAAACATTTGACCTTTTATTCCACTCATTATTTTACTACATTTTGCTTTGTGCTTTCGTGGTGTTTTCAAGAGGATTCTTTTGATACAGCTACATTTTCCAGGCGCAAAAAGAACCACACTTTATGGCCAAAAGTATGTGGACACCCAAACGTCATATCCACATGAGATTGCTGAACATCTCATTCCAAAACTATACACATTAATGTGCTGCTGTAACAGCCTCCACTCTTCTGGGCCTGGCTGCAGGGATTTGTTGACGTCGGGCACTGATGTTGCAGGGTGACGAGGTCGGGCTCACAGCTCGCATTCCAGTTCATCCCAAAGGAGTTGGATGGGGTTGAGGTCAGGGTCAGCTAAGTTCTTTCACACCGCCAAACTGGGAAAACCATTTCCTTATGGACATTGTTTTATGCATTGGGGCAATAATTCGGAAACAGGAAAGGACCTTCCCCTCACTGTTGCTACAGCGCTGGAAGCACACTATTAGTTATAATATTGTTGCTGTATCATTGAGATTTTAAATGCAACTAAAGGGCCTGAACCATGAAAAACAGCACAAACCAAATGTACACAAGAATAAGGAGTCAAGTAATTAAATATTTCAGTTTTTAGTAGGGGGCTCATTGGATATAGTAGAATTTTGATGGTATGACCCCGACTACATTATTTAACACAAACCCGTTAATATTTCAGTGCTCTGCAAAGGCTCAGTCTACCTCCCTATTTCCTTTTAATACATTGATACAGACCAATACAGAAATTTAACTAATAGTGGAGTATTTCTCCATATTACTGTTACTATCATAGTAAAGAATGAACTTCTCATTATTATTCACTTATGTTTATTTATAGTGGAACATATACAACCAGGCATCAAAGACTCATAACAAAAAAGGCAACATATTCACAAATATGACATTTCAAAAAAAGCCTTTAAGAGGTTCATATAATATCGACAGCATTTTGACTCTATATATTTGTAGCGTATACTGAATCTGTTGTAACAATAGGAGATATGGCACAATGCCACACAACCATAAACCACTTTAGGACAGAGTTATGTATTGAAAGGATGAGAGTAATTAATGACAGATATTGTTTAGTGATCACGTGTTTAGTTGCTGACAATCTGAACTGTCCTGATGCAGCAATCCAAAACCTGCCGAGTACTTTAGATAACACCCGTTTGCTAAAACAAACAAACAAAAAAGACATTTATAAACATTTAAACCACAAATTTCAAATCTAAACTGTAGCGCACAGACCTTTCAAAACATAATGCCATACACAACATTATACTTAAATGATTAAGACAAAAACGCTTAAAAAGGAAAAAAGCCAATGATATAAAACTAATGGCACATTCAGGCACTGTTGGTCAGATGAGGAAATATTATGAGAAGAGCACAGAGTCAAAACCTCTCTTCATGCTGATGCTTAACTGTAAAAAAAAATAAAAAGCAACCCAAATACTGGACTTTAAATGTTTTATAGGTTCTAAAAGGCCATATACCAAAGAAACTGATATATATATATTTTTTTTTATTACAAAAACACTTCCTGTGTTAAATGTAATAGAAAATAAGAGACAGAACTGCACAAGTCCAGTGACCTTTCTATGATCCATTTTAAAAGTCAATCATCTCAGTTGTGTAATAATCATAACACAATGATGGTTTGCGTAAACGGAAGCACATGTTGCATTTGTTTAATTTGACCTCATAAATGGCAAATTATATTTAGTGTATCCTTCTGTGGTGAAGTGTTTTGCCAGATAGTAGTGTAGCGTTACAAACAAATCAGATTTCATGTGTACTGTTCCGTGTTTTTCTAACCAAAAATACTCACTAGAAGAAAAGTATAAAGAACTTGGTAGAGCAGAAACAGAAATTAGTGTAAAATCCGATTACAGTTGGTGCTCAAGAGCAACAAGTGTACGCAGTGTATCACGAACTCCATGCATATGAAACATACAACATTTGTGGCACATATGTTATTTGCACATGAGAGTATAATCATGTTTAGTGTATGTTGATTATATGAGGATATTGGTGTAGTTAGATTCAAACTTTGGCTTGTTTGTTCCTCGTTTTCTACCTTTTTTATATTGTAGATTATAGTTATAACTTGATTGACGACTTAACTCTCTTATAGCAGTTATCCAACAATTAAAAATAAGATATAGTCTAAAATTTTAAGGAATTCACAGGAGGCCCTCTAGTGGATTTACATTAATATGACAGCCGCCTAAGCCAAGTTTCCTCTTCCCCTTTAAACTGTATCCAGTTGCCTCCGAGGTTGAGGTTTCAGCCAGGCTAATTGCACATACCAACAAACTGATTAACTTGTAGTGTAATACAGAAAACTACAATATATGGCAAATCATTTCCAAAAGTGCATAAAGGGGTGTGATACGTTGCAATATCGCACACTGAAGTGTGTAAGTGCAATTTCCTTACATTGCTCAAAATTAACTTTCAGAGTAGATTAATGATTCATTGTATTGATCCCACTGCTGTTTAGCGTCCTCTATCTGTATCAACTGAAACCACATTCATCAAATGACAAGGCAAATATTGTGCAATAATTAAGTTGTCTTCACCTAAACTTGGACAGCAAACAGCCTGTGGCTCAAAGATCGCTCATGCCAGAAGTTAGTGTTTTGAAGAGAATGAGACATACTGTTGCTCATCATCACTGGGCTTGGAAGCAGTCGACCTACTTTAGATGCTTACAAGTGTTTATAGGGAGAGAAAAGGAAGGCGTTACAGAGGGAATGTGGACACACGAGTCCCGAATATGAAGATAAAGCAGCAGTGGAGAAAGAAAACAGCATGCTTCCTTATTTGCACTTGCTAAGAGCCTCCTGCATCTTCTCTTGAACGTGCTCCATCTTCTCGGCCCACTCCTCGCTCAGACCCTCCTCGTCGTCTCCAATGACGGCGGAGTAGCCCATCAGGGCGATGAGGCCGATGCAGAACAGGTAGGTGAGCCGGGTGCAGAGTCGCTCCATAGTCTGCCGGTCGCCTTGTGAATGCTTCAGGTAGACCTCCAGGATGGGTCTGCTGAAGAGCTTCGGTTTGCCCACCACGCCGTCGTACAGCGTGTGCAGGTTCTGATCTCCCAAGTCATTGGAATAGCTCTCCTCGAAGTCGTCCTTCTTGCCCTCGCGGTGCTCCGGCCGTGCCTCCACCATCTCCATGAACTTTCTGAACTGGTTCTTCAGGTTCTCCTCCACGCGACAGTACTGGCCATCCAGCGTCTCTTTCTTGATCTGTACCAGCGTGTTGCGATTCATCTGGGACAGCTGGTCCAGTGCGCGGTTGACCGAGCCGAACTCGCGCTTCAGAGTGCGGATGTCCTCGTCATCGACGTGGTGCAGCACCACGCGGATCAGGGAACCCGCCACGCCAAAAATGGGGTTAACCACCGCTGCTGCTGAGGAGATAGTGGCCACACACTGGAGCACTTTGACCAGGCCCTGCTTCAGCTTGGCCTGGTCCTCGATGATGTCCTCATCCATCATGATTTCCAGGATGAGAAGATGTTGTGGATGTCTGTGACAGAGATGAGAAGAGAGAAAAATTAGGGAAATAGTGTTAAATTGGTAATCATTTCCATTATTTGCATGCAAAAATGGGAAATTTGTCAACAGGCAAACATAAAAACTAACAACAAACAAACATACATACATACATACAGGAGGAAAGAATGAAGTTTTCATGAATAAATCCATGTGTGGAACTCATTTGACAGCCATGAAAAAGGATAAGAAGTCCATTGTACTGGTAAAAGGGCTCAGCTTGACCAACAATGTCACAGCTCTAAATCAGCTGACTCCACTTCTCAGCTGCTCGATAAATCAGAGCATTGAAAGAGGACAAGCAAAACTGATCTAATAGTAACATTTATATCGTACTGACATCCAGCACAGAGCAACTTATATTCAGTTGTACAGCAGCTTATCATCACTAACTGATTATTTCAGTTCCTTTGAGTCGGAAATGTCCTCTGACAGCTGTTGCAGCTGTCGGGATCAAGAAAAAGCATTTCATGGCTGTTTCACACAATATTCCATCATGACAGTTGTAGCCTCTTACATCAAATTTATTCTCTTCAAGCACACAGCACACAGGAACCTCGCCCTGGATTTTTACAGCGAGAAGGGGACTCTGGTCCTGATCAGGATGATTCCTGAAACAAAAGACACACAGATATTCAGACACAAGACGCCATTCAAATACATCCGACATAGAAGCTGCATAGCTGATTTTGGTTCATTCTGTCTCCCTGAACCAGGAAGTGAACAGATTTTTGTCTCTTGCTGGTTGCAGTTTTCAGCAGTGAAGGAGTTAACAGCCTCTGTGTTTCAGTATCACACAGCTCCATTCACCACTCGAGCCTTTCAGCACCAGGCCGCTCTCTATGTGTTTCTATGGGCCGGGCTGATAGCTCCTCAGCAGCAGCGAGCTACATGAGGAAGAACTGTTGAGACGCTAGCAGCAGCAACTGGGCGGGACAGTAGAGTGGGAAAACAAATACGCCACGGCTCACTGAGCAGTAAGACTTGTTTATTACATAACAGGAGCTACTGTACAAATGTCATATGGTTTCAGGCTAGTTTAGAGGCAGAATTTACCTGTTTGAAGTCGACTATGTGAGCTGACCACTGACAGGAGACTGCTGAAAGAGCACCTCCTTGTGTTTGTAGTGTTTTTCCACACACACAAGCAAAATATAGGACAGTGACATCAGCCACAGAGCTAAATGTGTATTGCACAGTGTTAGGTCTTCTGTTATCTCCTGCTACACCTCAGCTTTGGCTCCACATGCGTGCTGTGGGTACTACAGACACATACCACTGGCAGATTACAACACAGTCACAAAGATAATCACAACCCCGTGTTGTGCCGACACGGAGGACCCACACAGCTGATGACCACAATGCTGTGCAAGTCCAAACAGGCCCCCCCTGAGACCCACACACACACTGTAATGGACAAACTAGTGTGTGACGTGTGTTTCTGTTTTGTTTTTGTCTCTTTTTAACTACCTGTGTCCACCAGAGGGGGCAGTAATTTACCTATAATGACAGCCATGATATCCGCCATCTGATTTCAGCACCACCACTGTGGACTAAAAGCAGTGAGGCAGGAGCAGGATTTAACCCTTTAGCTTCAGGCTCACTTTAAATGATGTGTTTAAATGCATGAATTCAATCAAAACATGAGCACATGTTTTACTTTATTTGAATACTTGTGAAACCTACACTTGAATAATCTTTTAAAATGAGACGAAATCTCCATGAGATGCTTCTCAAATGTCACTTTTGCTGAATTTCATCGTTTTTATACATCACATTTCAGCTTTATAACTGAAAGCCATCTGCTCACCACATAAATGTCCAATTATTTTTGGATTTCTTTGTATTATGTGGATAGTAGATGTGCTCTTTGCTTCATAGTTTGTGTTTTGTAGCTAATACGTTGTCAACAAATTACCTTCATGTGTTTTATTTCAATTTATTTGTCCTTGTTTTCACAGATGAGGCTCTACGGCAGAAAACACTCTACATGGCAAACTGCAAGAGGAGACGCTGGTAATGAAAGGGTTAATAACAGGTTTTTTGACACAAATTATCTCAGAAACAATACCATAAAAAAAAAAAGTTTAATTTCTGGAGAATATGAGCTGTATTTATCACAACAGTGATGGTTTGGATTAATCTTACAGCTTCCTGCAGCTGCATTTTCATCTTCAACATAAAATTAACTCTTTGTGCAAATTAAATGACTCCTAAATCGACTCTTTACCTTCAAAAACGTGTCCGTAAGCGAGCTTGATCAATTTGTGTCGTTTTGTAATCCATTCAAAAACAATTGAGGACTGACATATGATCACGTGATTTTTTATATATTAATAAAAATATGAATTAAGAGCCAATTAATTATACAAAGGGTTAAAATGTTCTCCATGGGTTAACCAATCAGTGTTCTGTAGCAGCGTGGCCTTTAAAGAAAGCAGAAGGGACCGCACACCCACACCTCAGTCACAAAGTCTTGGCCTAAAGTTGTGGCTCAGTGACTCAGCTTCTGCATTACTGTGCGTCTGATACAGAAAGTAGCTATAAGAAAATATAAAGTTTAAGTCATTGCCAGAAATAAACACTGACTACATGTGGGTTGTTAACAAAGCAGCTCTGTCTGTCTAATCAGGAAGTGACAGGCTGCTCTCACCTGTTTCTCTGCAGTTCTCTGAGTGGCCATCTTGAATGTTTTCTATGAGCACAGCAATGCTAATGCTAATCCAAAATTCACACATTATATTGCATTAAAAGTGTTCCTAAAGTACATGACTTACATTTTCATGACTTATTTGAATGTTTTCTGCCACTTCTTGGTGTTGCCTGACACTTTGCTCTCTGTCTTTACAGATCACAGCCTGTGTGGCAGCTGGGACACTTTTACTAAGGAAGTGTACACCCTTCAGGCTAATGCAGTTCAAACAATAACAATATTAATGAAGACTAACATACAACAATGAAGTATCTTCCGGAGTTCTTCTCTATTTGTGAGTACTAAAACAAGCAAAGCATTCCCTCTCCTATCAGCTCAGGCCCAGACAACTGCCTTCCTGCCCAGCTATGGCTCCCCCTAGCCGTGCCTCCATATTTCCTTGTTAATGCACACCATAATGCCCTGACCCTCCCTGCTCTATCACACTGTCAAGACACCAAAATACACCTGAAAACCTCTATTTCTGTGTCTAAATGTTGAGTATACAGCCTCCATCTGCCTCCCAGCCAACATTGGGCACCATTGGAGGCAGCAGGAGAGAGGATTTCTTACCTTTTGAGAGTGGCTGTGCCTATGCCTCCCTCACCAAAGTCCCAACCTCGACAGCCTCCTTCTTCTTCCCAGCAATCCCTGCAAAAAAGGACACTTCCATGTATGTTGAATGTGTAGGGGTGACCAAATTGGACTAAACCATTTATAAAGAGCCCAGAGAGCCCCTAAAACCCAGAAATTGCCATTTTGGCCCCAAATACACATAAGCTCCAAAATGCCATTTTAATATCACATATTGGTGGCCTTAAACAATAAAGCCCACTCCTCAAATACACCATGTCCTACCCCCATGGTTTCAACTTATTCTGGTCCATCCAGTAGTCATACAGTTGATACTGAAGCGCAGTTGTCAGTAAGTGCGCAGCTGAACTCTCAGGCACTTTCTGCAGTTGTCTGTGCGTTTGCCAAGCCCTGGAGCATCTTTGGGAGGCTACAAATAGTCCATTGGTGCTATTTTTGAGTCAAAGAGACCCTTATCTTGTGGACTGGACCAAAGAAACTGGAATTAAAATATTTGCATGCGCGTAAAATCCAACCATGCAAAAAGACAGCTATGGATCCAAATGGACCTCTCCAAAAGTGCACAAGTGCATCCAAAGGCACAGAGAGCTCTCCAAAGAGTCCAGGAGAAAAAAAGAGAAGATTATCCAGCTTAAAAGGTAATTATAATATAATTCCGTTTAAATTTTATCAATTGTACTCAAAAATGTAAAGTTAAACTTAAAGAAAGTCGAATTTAAAGTCCATTTGAAAGCAAAGTGCAGCAAGAGAAATGTACCAAATGGCGCAATTGGCACTGCAGACAGTAAAGTTATTTATCTAACGTATTTAAACATATTATATAATTAAATATATATGTGCTAATACGGACATCACTGTTGCACAGTTCACAAATTAAAATTACTGTTTCTCTGACCAACAGTAGCGATGAAGTAGGTTAAAAGCTGAGCTGTAAACGCACCCAGTTAGTGCGTCAAAGTAGTCCTGCAACGAGCCACAGTCTGGTCCTTTATCCAGGCTTGAATAAGCAAAAATTCAGCCCTGTGACACAAAAAAAAAAACATTATATGAGAAGCCCTACAGACACATCCAATCGATTCCTAGATCAGGGAATGACTGCGCCGGCGGTTGAAGCTGTTTTCCCCAAAATAAACCCCCATGCAAATTATTCAGGCAGCTGCCAGCAGAGCGTTAACAGACAACCCTGTTCCCTTCAAAGGCTAGCTGATGTACATGATGTTTACGTCGTGTATTACACCAGCACATAGTCACAAATAGGATGGGCGTTTGCCTCTTGCGTGTCCGGGCCTGAGTCTCCAGCAGGTTTAAGACCCCGCATCCCCTCTGTGAGACTCCGAGCCTCAGGCAGCAGCAACACAAGGGAAGCCCTGTCCTCCCTGTGGTGGTAACAGAAGAAAAATAGCAATAAAAAGACGAGTGTCTGTTAGAAATAGTCAAAGCCTTCGTTATCTGCTCAGAAATGACCACATGAACGCTCAAACGCCAGAAAAAAGAGAGATGAATGTGTAGCCTTTATTCAGCACCAGAGCACAGCCGGAGCTCCAGCCGGACGCACGCCTGTCCTCATTGTGCATTTGTCGCAGCAGCTGTCACACAGATCACATTTCACACCGAAGCCACGGTGCGATGAATACTCACACTCAGTCCTATATGATGTACTGTAATCACCACACTTGTGCAAGACTAGCTGTGCGTCGGGCTGCGGTCAAAACGCGTAATATGTAGGCTCCAGGGTGGCAAACAGCCGCTGTTGCAAGATGTTGTTGTTTTTTTTAGCTGGGGGGCAGGTGGAGCGCTCTGTTGACGGGTTAAAAAGCCACAGTAATGATGTCTGGAGGCAGTGACTGAACAACAGGCACAGGAGTGTGGTTACAAATCAGCCGAAATATATCCACAACTCCCTGTTATAATACATTTTATTATAGGATTATCTGTTTCTGTCTTATTCCGCACTAGGGCTATATATGAAGACAAAACAGATGCTTTATTGTAGCACTTGAGCGCTGTATTCCCTAATAATGTGACACCAAGCAAGCCTTCATATTGTACCTGTCTGATTTCATTCAATGTGTATCTAGTTCAAAATAAATAAATTTAAAGAAAGAAAGAAATGGAAATGTGTTTTTCTTTTATTGTGCATAATTTAACATAAGACATGTTGAAACAAAGAAAGCTTTCTTCACTCAGGGGGTCAGTGAGTTTATTTTGCTTTAAGTTAGCATCAACTCAAATATATAAGTGCTTACTGATTTAAAAAAAGGAAATTGTAGTTGGTGCAATAACAGATCAAACTGACACATTTAGACAGACATTATTCATTGTAAACAAAAAGACCAGTTGTATTTAAATGTCTTTATTTTATTTATTTTTTATTTAACATGTTCCAAAAAAAGGACAAAAATACATTTTAAGTTTTACCATCAAAAAATCAACATGGTAATTCTTCATTTATCAATTACACAGAGATGTTGAGGTCATAATTTGATTGTGGTTACACACGTTGAACTCCAGGGGCGCTGTATTGATACATGAATAAAACTGTACAATATCTTTACATTGCCTCAGAATACATTTATTCAGTCTTTCTTTGCAGTAAGCATTTTGTACAGCCATGCAATGCAGTATACCAAAAAAAGGCTGAAATGAAGAAAATAGTAAAATCAGTGAAAAATTAGAACTGAAGTGATGTTATTGCAGCGATATTTGTGAAGAAACACAAATTAGTTTTCATTTAAAACATTAGGTTCAAACTACTCTGACTACAGCTGCAATGATTAATTGATTAGTGGTCCAATATTAAATAGATTAATTGTTTTCTGCGTCTTAAATGTGAATATTTTCTGGTTTCGTAAGTCCTATGACAGTAAACTGAAGATCTTTATTATATATAAATATATATTGAAAGACATTTGAGGACGTCACCTTGGGCTTTGGGAAACACTGGTCCAGAAAATGTCAGAAATGTCGATCAAACAACTAATCAATTAATAATAATGAAAATAATTGATAATTGCAAACCATATCAGAAGACCTGAGCCAAACCAACCAACAATATTCAGTGCAGTCCAGTGTTTTACATAGCATAACACAATGAAATCAACCTTTAAATATGCAGAATATAAAAACCTCAACTACTATCTATCAGCTGCACATTATTCCTCCACTGTTGGTGTGGGATCCTCCTGTGTTAGGTCCCAGTGTTTCCTCAGATGGCTCTATGTTCTGGAGCAGGTGTACGTACTGTGTGGGCTCAGTCTGGTGGCGAGCGGTTTTTCGAGCATAGTACCTCCTGGACGCGGCTCTCCACGCCTCCCTCTGCAGCGTCTGACAGTCGTCAGGTAACTCTGATATCAGCGTCCTCCTCCTCTTATCCACTAAAGAGTTGTGAGGTTGCGAGTACCGAGAGTCTGTAATGCGGGGGAAGGGGACCGGGGGGCGTGAGGGGTTTGCCTGTTGCCGGGCTACTTTGCGGGCGTAGTACCGCCTGGAAGCTGCTCTCCAGGCTGCCCTCTTCAGTCTCTGAGCCTCCTCCGGCAGCTCGGACATTGGCACGCTCTTCTTCTTCCTGAGGAGGTCAAGAGGTGAGAAAGGATCACACAGATGAGTAGGTATTGCCTCCCATGCAATTAAGTCCAATAAAATAACTGACAAATGAACAGATTTGATATGTTTTACGAGAAAGTAAGCAACAAAGGAAAAATCTGATCTGTAGGACTGCCACCACACCACTGTCTGCAATCACAAATCAGATACTCTTAAACTACTGAGCTGAATGGCTAAAGTTGTTACCAACTGACCCATGCTGCTGTGTGACATAAGTGTGGCTAAACAGATAAGTGGTGTTTCATGGAAGATTTGTCACAGCAATTTATAAACCACAGAGTATTGCATCAGCACATCTCACACCTTGTTTTGTTTTTTATATATATAGAATAAACTATGAATGTAGCTGATAAATCAATTATGAATCCAAGCAGGGCACACAATTAGCAGCAGCCAAATGCAGGTTCACTCAACAGCATTCACTATCCATTTGGCTGGTGAACAAAAATGATATATCTGCACCCTGAATCCACTGAATCTAAGTATAAAGTCAAAGAGAAGCCCTTAATTATAAATATCTAATGCCACAATTGATGTTTTATATAGTTGAAACAGTTTGGGTGGATTGTCTTTTAAAGAGGTAAAAACCCTACTGAGGTAACTGAGGGCCACTTGTATTTATTTGGCTCACTTGTATCTATGAAACAACCCACCTGAGGTGTTCTCCCTCAGTGACGTGATGTCCATCCAGATCTGCATGAGGTGTCTCGCTGGACTTTCTCTCTCTGTTCTCCAGTTTTTCTAATGGGATCAGAAGGGACAAACATTTTCTTACATCATACAACCCCACTGCCATCATGCAAATGCATTTTTACAGTGACAGCATTTAGCCAAAGCTTTTCTCTTTCTAATGCTCTTACACACAACTGTGTATTGCTGAACAATGATTGGTGACAAAACAATACACAAGTTTGTGCTTGAATCCAAAACATTAGGTTCAATTTTATATAACCATGTTTTTTTCTCAAATGCAAAAGTGATCAATTGTGACTCACAAAGCAGCCATACAAGAATATTTCCATATTCAAAGCATGAGCCTTTTTAAAAATATGATTTAAATCATGAAATATCTTTTAAAGGAATAAGTAAACAAGCCAAAGAATGTGACAGAGAATTTCAATGCCAAATTTTTGATACTTGATCGGGATACTATTGATGTTCAATACTCAGTCCTAGTGTTACAGAACATGCCCTTTATGCAACAGCTTAAACTGAGAGATCATTCAGGAAATGTGTACTAGGAATAAGAGAGAGGATGCATTACTTTTACTGCCTGTGCTCTCCTTGTCCTGATTTGGACTCCCTGTGCTCTCCTGATCCTCCCCGAATCTCTCTTCACTCATTTCCCACTTGATTAAGACTGTGTCGATATCATACGGCTCCTCTTTGACGACAAGGCTGCTGGGAGATGTAGGCAGGTTCCTGGCTGCCTCCGATACACCTGAGGACTCTGAGGAGTGAGGGGTGCAGGTTTGTTCCAGACCGATTCTGCTGGGGGATGACGGAAGAGCTGACTCGTGGCTTTGGGAGGAGACATGTGAGGGGGGTCTTGCAAAAAGGCCCACTGTGGGAAAAAGGAGACAGAAAATTGTATTCCTATGAGGGGAAGTAACAGATTATATTTGCTCTTATTTGCGTTAACACGGTTATATTTGTACATTATGTGAGAGTGCATGAACACAGATACATGGCTGATCTGATGCCTGACTATTAAAAGCCCAAACTAATAAATAAATGTACAAATAATTAAGAGTTGTATTATCCCTCGTCCTACCGACTGACCCCAGAGGTACACTTTTTATCATATCTCACAGATGTTTTATTCTATCATTCCAATGTTTCCTGACTGTCTATCAGTTTGTTCCTACTAAGTTCATATAATTGATTTCTGGTTATGTTTTAATTTGTGCTTTTTAAAAACACCAATGTACTGGGGTCCTGGGGGGACAGCAGTCAAAAATACCCAATTGCACCTATGCAGTTTTAATAGATTTATCTATTTATTGAGTTTGTTTTTGAGTTCAGGTCTTAATTTCTGTTTTGTTTTACACAATTTGCAAATTAACTAACTTTCCAATGATAATAATAAGAATAATAATGATGATGATTAGGTCAGATGGCATTTATTACGCAACTATAAAATATGAAATATGAAAATAATGTTCTGAAAAGAAAAAAGTTAAAACTTTTTGCTATGATGGCTATATGTTAAATATGTTGGTAGGATGAGGGTTAACTGTGATATGCCATTAATTTTAATTACTTGAGAAATATTTATTATATTATTATTTTTTCCATTTGCACTGTTTACTGTAGCTACTGTTAATTTTATATTTATTTATATTTTATTTTATTTTTAACTCTATTCTTAAGGTCAGGGTTTTTAATTTTAGTTTAATTTTAGTTTAATGTATGT